CCATCCAGTGATGGTGTCTACAGATTACGGCTGGTCTGGGATGGAGGCAGTGTTTTGGTTTAGAGGGGGGTCCTGTTTGGGGTGGGAGGGGCACGGACGGAGCCGGAGAAATGCTGATATGAGGAGTAGACAAAGCGTGAAAGCCCTCAGCATGGAGCCTATGTCCCATTGTCCCGCCGAACCCTTCTGTCACTTTCATTTTACACCGCACGCTCCGAAGTCAGGACAGCTTTGATATAGGGAACGGGTCCGAGAGCGGATGGCGGGGGGCCAGAGGGGGATCGCGTAGAGAGAAAAGAAAGAAAAAAAAACACCGGACAAGCAAGGGAGAGAGAGATAGAGTCCGTGAGGTGTGAAATAAGATTGCTTTTTTATCCAACAGTGCAGCGTTAAAGACAAGGAAGCTGTCTTGTTGTGGGCCAAAAACAAGGGGAGAAAGAGGTAGACGGGGGGGGGAGAAGAGGGGGAAATGTGGCCCCACAGATTTACAGTGATGTGTGCTGTGACACCTGGTTAAAATGATAACCAGTGCTTCGGTAATCCTAATGAGAAAGAGCAGCCACTCACAGAGAGACCGACTCACACCGCTCCACTGTGCTCTGGCTGGAAGAAGGGTGAGGCGAGGCAGGCCAGAGACTCGCCTCATGAGTCAACGCTAAACCTACAGAGGATCCCAAGAGCTTCTAAGGTATGGTTCCTCAACGTGAATGTGTTTTCGAGAGCACCAGGCTGATTTCTGTTTAGTTAGACGCTGGGTTTGTGGTATGAACGTGTACGCCGGCCTTTCGGTCTGGGTAGGAGAGGCTGGATGGAGCAGTGGTTACCATGTATTATTTATTTGGCGGTTTGTGCCTGTCAGTATGATTAGTATGTGTGTAATCACCATTCTTCTGGGGAAACAGGGGAAGGCAGCTCGGCCTCATCTGAAGGTAATCGCGCTGTCTTCTCAGTCTCATCGCTTGGCGCGGACTTCCTGTCTAACATCTGCTTTTGTCATCTCCACATATTTCCCAGTCCGCGTTCTGTATATATTTGTCTGTGCCTTTCTAACCTCTCTGCCTTCATCTGCTCTGTGTGTGTGTGTGTCTTGCCAATTTCTCTTCCTTGCTTGTATAGGGTGACACCTATAGGTCAGTCTGAGATACTGCACCCTGTGTGTGCCGGAACGTTTCATCTGCAGTTCTCTTACACATTATCATGCGGCTTCCGTACCAAATTTTCTGTATCCACGTCTGGCTTTGTTGAAATGTTGTGGGATTGTGTTTCCTCCGAGAACAGACGTGCTTTGTAATTTCAGGCGCTGCGGTGGGTTTATTCGGTTGGCGTGATTAGATTAAGGCAAAAGTTTAATATCACTGTACGAGGGCGGGTTAATGAGGACGATTAATTAGAAAGCCTAACCTTCAGGGTATTGTCCTTTACATTTTTAGGATTTGGGTTAGCAAATGGCCTCTCGCCATAGCTGCGAGTGCTTCCTCTTAATCTATTTCCAGGCCAGATCTATGACTACATTTGGGTGGGTCCTTTCATTTGCAGCCTACTCTAAGGCCACTTGTGACCTTTCATTAATTATGGCTGGCCCGGGTTTAATCATTGTGTACTGCGGTGGTGGCGGAGATGAGGAATAGGCACATTCATTTGCCTCTTAGACACATGGCCATGGGTGGAATTAAATGTCTACCTATCTGCGTACTACTGGGGGGAGGGTGGTCGGCGTACAGTCGAGGAGCGAGATGTTGATGAGAAAGGGGTGAGAGATTATTTTAGGGTGGCAGCTGTTGCGTGAAGCGGCTCTCCATTAAGAGAAAGAAGCGTGCTAGAGCAGGAATTAGACACTTAGACACCTCGGCTTTTCCAGAGGTGTAAAATCTACCTGGGGATTATTTTGTAATCTGGCTGCTTCTGACTCTACATCATATTGTAATTCCCAGCCTGGTGAAGGTGGATTTATCTAGACTGCAGTGCATGTTGCTTTCTTTTATTTGACTTTCCAGCCTATTTCTCAGCCCAACGCTGGGTAATGTTGGGTTATGGAGAACGGAAATTGCTCGGGGGAACATAACAGAAACAGGCACGTATGTGAAAAAATGAAATTTTGTATATGTATATATAGCCGGTTATTCCATTTATGCACCGTCATTTAAACACAGAATCAGTGTGGGCTCTGGGTAATATGGCCTAACTACATAATCCATACTGCGATCAAGCACTAGGTGCTTCATCTACACCGAACACAGGTGCAAATGCAAAAAGCACTGAGCAAATCAGAGTTTTTTTTTTTTTTTTTGTGCTTTACGAAGCTTTTGTGTTTGTTTTTAGAAAAAAAAAAATGATGATGAAATTAACAACAGTTCTGTTTACCTACCTCCTCTTTCAAATCTGCACTCCTTTTATTATTTAATAATTTGCCTGTTTTTGCATTTGTTCATCTGATGTGTTATTGTCGTTATGCTGAAAAACAACTCTTGTGAATTAGCACATGTAGTTTATAACCCTGCAGTGTACGGACGACTCTGTATACTAGTGTTTTCTTGTGTAATTACTTTCTCCCAGAATGCCACAGCGGAAACCACAGAGAACGATTGTAGGCTTTGAAAAAAAAAAATGATGATGAAATTAACAACAGTTCTGTTTACCTACCTCCTCTTTCAAATCTGCACTCCTTTTATTATTTAATAATTTGCCTGTTTTTGCATTTGTTCATCTGATGTGTTATTGTCGTTATGCTGAAAAACAACTCTTGTGAATTAGCACATGTAGTTTATAACCCTGCAGTGTACGGACGACTCTGTATACTAGTGTTTTCTTGTGTAATTACTTTCTCCCAGAATGCCACAGCGGAAACCACAGAGAACGATTGTAGGCTTTGGCAAACGGTCTGCCCCAGTCGTGTTTCCTCTCGGTGCATCAATAATTAAAACAGTGCAACAAAATGCAGAATTACACATAGCAATCCACATAAGACCATCAGATGTAAATGGCTTTAACTGCTCTAGATACACACACATACACACACACACTCACACACAAATGGTTTCTTGTAGCACATTAAGTCAAGGAGATGGAAATGTTTAGAGATGTTGATGTATTACTCGCAGTGAGAGAGTTATGGCGGAGGCGTTTATTAAATACGCCGCTCCATGTTCATGCAGAGACCAAAAAAACGTTTTTGAAGAATGATGGATTGAGGTTGTGCTTTAACAGTTCTAGAAACCGAACACTGATGAGAATAAACTTTAATGGATCGTGGGGCGGCTTTTGGAAGCGGCTGGTCCAGATTCAAGTCGCGTCCCAGGCGGGCTTCTAAAGTGGCTGGAACGTTATTGGACAATAAAAGCTGTTTTAAGTTAAGGGTTCGAATATTGTCGTGGAATAGCGATCTTTGAGCGTGGAGATGAATATTTGAACAGGATATTTCAGTGGCTGTTGTTGTCCTGTCGATATGTCAATAACCCACCTGATAGAGTGTAGAGTGCAGGGGGAGGCATTTTCAAAAGAACATTTAAGTACATTTGCTGAGAATTAGCTGACTTGTGTAATAATTGATAAGGCTTATTGACTGCCACAGACTTTACTGTTGCAAAATCAATGTTTGTGTGTGCTAGCCACGGTACTTTTAAACAAGCTCGGCCGGGAAAGGGGGTGCTCGGGGGGCACAAGGTGGGAATAAAAAGGATTGATGCCCATTTTATTATCTGTTTTTCAGCTTCTTCTCTCTGTTACTTAAACATGGCATTATTGGAGATCCATTGTTGGGGGTTCGCTGCCTTTAAATGGCCTAATATATTGAGCAGGGGGCTTTTAAGATGGTTACAGGGGATTTCTGCATTTGACTTGGCAAAATAAAATGAATTGCAGGCTGAGTTTTAAATATTTATGTTTTTTTTTTTTTGCTTTGCATTACATTGGGTTTTAAAAATGAACTTAGCCCGATATTGGTGAGCGGCCCAGCAGCAAACTGCAGCAAGGGACTGTAATTATGAACGTTGGGAGAGGTACTAGTGAGAGCGACGTGCAGAAACTCTCCTCTCTCTTGAAACTCGCACAATTATTTTTCCTGTCTGCATGCTCAGAGCCGCTGTGGAAAATGTGTGTATGTCTCTACCACATGTGTGCGGTTTGCTGCAATTTTATGTTCATATTAAACAGAGGAAGCCATAACGATATTTGTGTCATGGTCCTGCATAAATGAAGAATTATAACTGTTGAATCGAGGCTTGTTTTAAAAGAAATCTCTATAAAATGATGCCATCAAAAATATAAGACATTATTAAAATAATCATGTGCTTAAAAGGATAAAAAGTGTAATTTGCAAATGCATTTTGTAGGTACAAATATATTACAGAAAAATGCAAGTGTGTGTATATATATGTGTGTGTGTGTGTGTGTGTGTGTGTGT